ACGGGTTCGAGACCCACCTGGACAACTTGGCAAGACCTCATCTCCACAATAAATCAAAAAATTAGCCGGGTGTGGCAGTGCGCGCCTGTAGTTCCAGCTCCTTGGTAGGCTGAGGCGGAAGGATCGCCGGAGCCCAGCAGGTCGAGGCTGTGGTGGCCGGGAGCAGCCACTGCACTCCAGTCTGGGCGACAGAGTGAGACTCCAACTCAAAAAAAAAAAATATCGAACCCCGTGTATACTGGGTTTTCTCCTATATGAGAGGAGACCCCCAAAAACCCCGAATTTATTTATAAAAAATCGTGCCTTTTTTCTCACATGTTGAAACTCAGTCACCTTCAAAGGATTCTTTGACACAATACACCTATTGAAGCGCTTTTTCTGCTGCTCAAAACAGCTTTTTTGAACTTGTCCATGTTTTGATGCCTTTTAGTGCTTCTGCTGTTTTTTGTTTCACCTCTTCCACATCGGCAAAACGTTTCCCTTTGAGGATTTTTTTTTCATCCAGGAAAACAAAAAAGTCACTCGGGGTGAGCTTGGGTGGATAGAGAGGGTGGGGCCTGGGCGTCATGCTGTTTATGGGTCAAAAACTGCTGAACACGCAGTGCGGTGTGGGCAGGTGCTCTTGTAAATCGCCCGTCATGGAATGGGCAAACGTGTTGAAAGAATCTCAAAAAAAAAAAAAAATTCACTGAAGCTGAACGCAGCCTCTCACAACAATGCCAGCTGGTACGTGATGCCAGTGGTTTCCTAGAGCACTTATCCAGCAGGGGAAGACTGGACTACAAGGGGCCTCCCTCCAGCCGATAACTCTGGGTTTTTGGGGGGTTCCCCTCGCTTGCACATACCTATGACATTAATTTAGGGTGTAAGCACAATAAGAGATTACCAACAGTAGCCAATCATAAAACGAATTATGGCAACACATTTTAATATAAGGTGTGCGAATATAGTCTCTCTCTGTCTCTCCCCCCGCCTTCCTCTAATATCTTTTTTGGACCATACTGAGGGTAACTGAAACCTGAAACCGCGGAAGGCAAAATCACAGCTAAGAGGGGACCTCTGTGGTGTCCCTGTTGGATAAGATCCCCAAATCTTGGACAGTCTTGCATTTGTCCTCACATGCCTTGAGAGTTACACGTACCGTGTTACAGTACGATATTGACAGGCCGCCTGAGGCATGCTCTAGGGTGACCTTTGATGGCTTATCACTTTCTCTGTATGTGCTTAGAACTCAGTGCCAGCCTAGGAAGTGGCTTTTCCTTACCCACACCTGACTGACTTTTCTCTTAGGATGTTCTTTGAGCCCGGCCACCTCTGTGCTCCAAGTTAAGCTTTCTCCTCTGCCCGTGAGAGAAAATGCAGATACGTCCCGCCATCCAAGGCAGTTTTCCTGGACCCTTTTTCCAGGGGCACCAGATGGCACACGGCATTCATGTTCTTCGCGGCATTCTCGGGAAGGGTGGGTGGTACCTGGTCAGGCCCTTTCTGCCAGGCGGTGGGATCCATTCATTCGGCTTGAAGCACTGGGCCGAAGAGAACAGTTCGTGATACGGGAATCGGGCTGTGTGGGCGCCACCCTGCTCTCATGGTCTGTGTTTAAAATGATCGAGCAGACATTTATTGAGCACTTTCTGTATACAGACACAACATTGCACTGGGGACTGTGCTGGGAAAGCCCAAAAGCCTGTCCCGAGGGAGTTTAGAAATTCTGCCTATCTGGGTGACATGTGAGGCCCCTGAATGGGCAGAAAGCGTGGAAACTCCTGCGCCGGTGTCCCTGTGTCACCCTGCTGTCCCCCATTCCAGATCCAACCTGCAACCGCTGCTTCCTCAGATGTGGTGCCTGTCTGCCCACGTGCGTCTTCTAGTGTGGCAGGCTTCTTTAGCAGGGGCCCGAGAGTCATGGTCTCGAGCCCTCGGGTCTGCCACCGCACTCGGCGGCTGTGGGGAGCAGGCAGAGGCAGCGTGCCCAGGAAGGGGCATGGCCGAGTTCTAATAAAACTTTATTTACAAGGGTTGTTTAAAAGGTTTACACCAGCCGGGCGCCGTGGCGCACGCCTGACATCCCAGCGCTTTGGAAGGCAGAAGCAAGAGGATTGCCTGAGCCCAGGGGTTCAAGACCCGCCTGGGCAACATGGCGAGACCTCATCTCTACAGGAAATCAAAAAAAAATTAGCCGAGTGTGGTGGCGCACGCCTGTAGTTCTAGCTACTTGGAAGGCTGAGGAGGAGGGATCGCCCGAGCCCAGCAGGTCGAGGCTGCGGTGACCGTGAGCATGCCACTGCACTCCAGCCTGGGCGGCAGAGTGAGACTCCAATTCTAAATAAATAAATAAAATGTTAACGATGGGTCTGAATTCTGGAGATGGTCGCCTCTGCATAAATGGGGGCCGTGGACCTGGCCGGGTGATTCCCCAGGGCGGGCCTGGCTCGCATAGCCCTCGCCTCAGGGTCTGGCCAGCAGAGCCCTGACGGTGGGTCTCCTTGTGGCCGGGCTCACCACCAGGGAGTCCGACTCTGCCAAGGAATGCCAGGGCCCCGGGGCCGGGAGAGTGGATGCTGGCCACCTTTGTCTGCGGGGACAGAAACATTTACCCTTTTTGCTTGAGGCCGACCCAACAAAGCTGGCTTGTGCCCGTTTTTGGAAACACCCACAGGCCCTCACCTTGTATCTACAGCCCTCAGCCTCTCAGGAATGTTCTAGAAAGAAAGAGCACTGTCTGGCTGCATGTCCCGGGGTTTTGTTGTCAAGATTCTGCAGGGGTTGCGAAAGACAAGAAGACAAGCCATGGGGCGTCGCCCCCGGAAGTTGTCCTTGTCATGAATAAATCAGGATAAACGTGCCCTCCGGGTGCTGGAAATTGGAAAAGGCAGGTCCTGGAAAATAGCTGCCTTCAATCTTTTCTGGGTATGAACCGATCGCTTTTTTAAGTCCTGTAGAACGGTGGTTTTGACCCCAGCAGAGACCCCGGGGAAGAGGGCCCTGGCCCAGGAGCCGGTTTTCAGCGGGCCATGCTTGGTCTTTGTTCTGCTTGCAGGGCGAGGCGACATCCAGCCGCAGCTGGACAGCGCTCTCCAGGACGTGAATGACAAGTATCTCCTGCTCGAGGAAACCGAAAAGCAGGCCGTGCGGAAGGCGCTGATTGAAGAGCGTGGCCGCTTCTGCGCTTTCGTCTCTATGCTGCGGCCGGTGATTGTAAGTGGTGGAACGCTCCAGAAGGTGGCGACTGTGGCAGGGAAGGCTTTCTTTTTTCTTTTCTTTCTCTTTTCCTTTCTCTTTTTCGTCCAGGTCTCACTCTGTTGCCCAGGCTGGAGTACAGTGGTGCAGTCACAGCTCACTGCGGTCTCGACCTCCTTCCTGGGCTCAGGTGATCCTTCTACCTCAGTCTCTTGAGTAGCTGGGACTGCAGGCGCACGCCACCACGCCTGGCTAATTTGTGTATTTATTTATTTATTTATTTATTTGTAGAGACGAAGTCTCGCTATGTTGCTCAGGCTGGTCTCGAACTCCCGGGCTCAGGCGGTCCCCCTGTCTCACGTTACGGGTGTGAGCCACCACGCCCAGCCAGCTCTCCCTTTTTTCCACCCGTCCATGCTTGAGGCCCTGAGCGTGTCGTGGGTCAGGAACCATGATGGTGGCATCACCTGAATGGACCAGCGATTCTCTACTAGGTGCTGGCGGCCTCATGGCTCTTTCTTCCTTCTTGGTTCGAGGTCCCCTCTGTTCCACTTTGCTTTTTCTCCCCACGTCAAGAAGGCCTAGCTGAGCGGTTCTCAAAGTGGGGTCCCCAGGTCAGCAGCATCACCTGGGAACTGGCTAGAAATGCAAGTTCCTGGGTCCAGCCCAGACCCACCACTCCACACCTCTGGGGGTGGGACTCAGGCACCTGTGTGTTCGGCGAGCTCTCCGGGTGACTTGGAGGCTCGCTGTTCAAGCCGAATGCCAGGGGGCCACTGACCATGAGGTGGGTGGAGGCCGGGCCCCGTGAGTTCAGACTCAGTTGCCAGTCTCATTTCCACGTCGTACTGGAGAGCCTGTGCTCCGGGCATTCTTGAGCCAAGGAGAGGCGCCTCCTCTCTTCCCTCAGCCCTGAGGAAATGTCGGGATCTGATCTGTTCGCCAGCGGGGCCGGCTCCCTCTAGCCTGGCCCACGGCTCCCGCAGCACTTGGGTTGCGTGAATGGCATGTTCTTCCAAGGCTCCGGCTCCTGCCTTACTTGCTGTTTGTTCAGTGTCTGGAGAAACACGAGGAAGGAGGGGACACACTTGTCCTGAGCACACACGGATGGTGACCAAGCTCTGGGCCAGAATGTCTCCCAGTTATGTCCCACACTGCAGCTGAGCAGCTCAAGGAGGGCCTGTGGGGGCCTGCGGCAGGGTTCCGTGAGCCACATAGGCAGGTGACCTACATGGGCCCGGCGTCCCCTGGGCCCCAAGAGGAAGGCTGCCGTGCTCACCGTTGGCCCCAGCACAGCAGGTCACCCAACGATTATGGCAGATTCTTTTTCCCAACCATATCTTGCATGAATTTAAACATTTTCAAGACTAAATTTATTATTGCTATTATTATTATTTTTAGAGACAGGATCTTGCTATGTTGCCCAGGCCGGAGTATAGTGGCTATTCACAGGCATGAGCATAGTGCACTGTAGTCTTGAACTTTTCTGGTCTCCAGCAATCCTCCTGCCTCGCCTCTGAAGTAGCTGGGGCTAGAAGCACACATCACCACGCCTGGCTAATTTTTTTTAATTTTTCATAGAGACGAGGTCTCATTATGTTGCCCTGGCTGGTCTCGAACTCCTGGCTCAAGTGATCCTCCCATCTCAATCTCCCAAAGTGCTGGGGTTACAGGCATATGCCACTGTGCCCAGCGTAGGTGGATTTCTTTGTCCCTTCTGCTTCCCAAAAGAAAGGGCTTTCTGTGCCCTCAGCAAAGGGTTACCAGTCCTGTGGTGCCTTTCTTTGAAAAGTCGAAAGCGTCCTATAGAGGCCCTAATAAAAGTTGGACTAGCTGGGCTTAGTGGCTCAGCCTGTAATCCTGCTCCTTTGGGAGGCTGAGGAGAGTGGATGGCCTGAGCCCGCGGGTTCGAGACCCGCCTGGGCAACTCGTCGAGACCTCATCTCTACAATAAATCAAAAAATTAGCCGGGCGTGGTAGCGCATGCCTGTAGTCCCAGCCACTCGGAAGGCTGAGGCGGAAGGGTCGCCGGAGCCCAGCAGGTCGAGGCTGCGGGGGCCGGGAGCGGCCACTGCGCTCCAGTCTGGGCGACGGAGTGAGGCTCCAGCTCAAAAAAAAAGCTGGACTGAGGCGAGGCAGTGAACCAGCCGCGCAATAAGAGCGATGAATGACCGCCCTCCAGGAAGAAGAGATCGCGATGCTCGGGGAAATAACCCACCTTCAGACCATCTCGGAAGACCTCAAGAGCCTGACCATGGACCCTCACAAGCTCCCCTCCTCCAGCGAACAGGTAGAGTCGGGGGCTACTCCGGGGAGCAAGGTGGGGCGGAAAAGTTCAAGGCCGTCAGCGTTCCTCATGGCAGTTATCACACCCCGCAAAGGATTTAGTAAAAATCACAGCCAGGCTCGGTGGCTCAGCCTGTCATCCCGCGCCTTTGGGAGGCCGAGGTGAGTGGAT